GTTAATTACTAGATACATGGTTTATTTTATTTTTATTTATTGACTTGATTTATATGGCTTTTAACCGGATTAAAAGCAATATAAATTTTTTTTTAAAAAACCTGTATATTATAACTATATAAATGTTAACATAAAACCGGGAGAAATATTCAAAAGAATAAAGCAATTTCTTGCTAGAGAGGTATAATTACAATAAACCAGCCTCGATGGCTTAATAGACAATCAAAATTTTCACTAATTTCCTGAAAGCCATGAGGGAGTGGCTACTTTGGTGTTGGAGGTGATATTTATTGATGGGAAGAGGGCAACAACTGAGAAGTCATAATTTCATGGTCCCTGAAGATGGCAGTCTTTGATAGAGGGACACAATCTCCTACATCATATCAAACAGACAGTTGATACTAGGAGAAGATGATTCTGCAGAAACCCAAGTCTTGAATCATGTCAGATTTTTAAAGATGACAAGTAGCAACTGCAAGCTAACCAGTGTAGCTCCTAACGTAAAGGTGTTATGTGCTTGCCATGAAATGCATGTATAATTACTTGACTTACTGTATTTTGGAACAATTGTAGCTTCTAAATGCTCTTCAAGGGCATGTAGAGTGTATTCCAATATTACAGTCCAATTAAGAAATCACTAACGCATGAGTGATTACTGATGAGTAATACTTCCCATTTCAGAAAAGGTCCTAGTTTGGGACACAAGGTTAAACTGTGCCACGGTCCTCTTGGCCACAGTTACTACCTATTTTTTAAGAGTCCAGGGGATCCTAAATAGTTAATCAACTCAATAATAATTGTATACAATTAGTTAACATTTTCTAGAATATCATCATTGGTTCCTTTTGCGTGAATTGCATAGAAAAGCAAGCCTCTTCCAATGAATCCTCTCCTTGGCAGAGAACATTGTGGTATAAATAATAGATATAAATTAAACTAAAAGTACTTTTTTCTGTTGTAGAAACTTTCTCATGGATTTCAGAAGAATATGAAACTTGAAGCTGTCGACAAGAGGAATCCTGCACTTATCAGAGTAGCTACTGTGGTTGAATCAGAAGATCACAGAATTAAAGTAATTTATATTCTTTTTAAACAGGAACATCTATTAACTGCTGAACAGTTATAAATGATAATACTATATTACATACAATACTCCTCTGGTTTCTCTATTCATTTCACTGAAGAGGAGGAACATAGCTTCATGTTATGTCCCACCTTCCAAAATAAACAGATAAGGCTGAAAGCAGCAGTCCTCGCAAATAAAGGCAGCAAACAGGAATCTTCACTGATAACAGCTGTAGATAGCCTCCACAAGATAGTCCAAGTTAATAGTTCCAACGAAATAAATCCAAGTCCCAACAAGATATTTCAGGTTTAAATCCTCCAAGCCAAAATCTTCGGTTCTCCTTGCAAACAAACACTTTGTTCCGGACAAAGTGCCAAGTCATCTCTCTCCCTTTATAGAGCAGCAGCTAATTAGTCTAATTACTGATCTGCCCTCCTCCTGTGCTCCCGTTGGTTTCTTCTCGTAAGGAGACGCCTGCTTCTGACATCCACCCAGCAATCATCTAAATTATTATCTTCACCTGAAGTCTCCATAAGTTCCTCATTGTCAGCCGTTCCCGGCTGATAACCTGATTGAGAAGCAGAGGAGGTTGAAGGTTCAGGCCGGTCCTGCAAATCAAATGTGTCCTCATTCAAAATATTTATTATCACTGCTGACAGGAACTGTTAGGACTCCTCTTCGAAATTCAAACAGACAGAGCTCTTTGCAGTAACGTCCTCCTTCAAAACTGCAGGCAAAACTGTTAGGACTCCCCTTTGAAATTCAAACAGACAGAGCTCTTTGCAGTAACGTGCTAATTAACTGGCTTGCCCATCAGATTAACGTTTCCTGGTTCTGACGTCAATCCACAATCTAACAGTCATCAGATTCAAAGTTCCTAACAGGATTGGTCCTTCCAATCACAACAGCTTCATCTTATTGAATTTGTCCCCTTTCAATTAAAGTCTATAACAATTTTAAGTTCCATGATTAGATATCAAAGTGGTATTTTTTATTTAGGCTGATCTCAGATATATTAGCCACCAGTTTTAACAGAAAATTAATCCCTAAAGAGTACCAACCTAAGATCTTGTTTCAGTTCTATTTAATTTTAATGGGCTTTCAGTCAACATTGGTGTTTAATTTTATAGGTATCTGTACTATGGACAATCTTTTTGTAAGACAGAGTTGCATCATATAATAGTAAGCAGCACGTGAAATGATTACAAACTGTGATTAGACATGGTGCTCTCACACATTCACGAGGCACCCTATAAATTTGCACTATAAATCTCCAATAAACACATAATCAAGACAAAATCATTTTCTTTCTGTCTTCGTCAGTTTGAGTGGATTGTGAGGTTTGCATCCTGTGGAGATACCATATTACACTTCACTCCTAATTGAACTGTTAATTTGTGCTGTCAGTAGTTGAAGAAAGAATCAACTGTTTTCAGTGTTAATACAAATGTGATTTTTACCAGATGTTTCCACTGTTATACTAACATGAAGGAAGTGACACCTTAGTTTGCTAATTTGGTAAATTAACTATGGTTTGTCATTTCAGACCTACGAAGTCAATCAACATCATCATGACTTTTATCTTTCTGATAACCGGAATTTAATCTCTTGAGTTGTATACTTAGCTCATAATTACTAAGTATTATGATTAGGATAAATCATAATGACAAATCACAGTGATTAGTTAGGATAAAGGGTTTTGATGCTTTGCTTTGGAATAGTTTGAGTACAATTTGGAACAACTTAAGAAAAAATTGCAAGTAGTCCTCAACTTGCCATTGGTCACTTAGTGACTGTTCAAAATTACAACTGACTACCCAAAAGGTACTTATGACCGGTTCTGAAGTCTGGGGGTGGGGTGGGGTTTGGGTATCTATATTTATAGCCATACAACCATGGTTTACTATGTTTTTGTCAAAAATAGACATTTACTTCTGGGTTTTGGCTAAAACACCCCCATAGCCATTTCTGACATTTGGTATACCCTATTCCAATGCTGAGCATTTGCCAGGCTTCAGAAAAAAATGGGCTGAGCTGTATTTAGCATTGGGAACCAAACATCATGTGAAGATTGAATTTGGAAACGTTAAAATCATACGTTAAAAATTTTAAGGGTTTGTTAAAATATAACTGGAAATGTTATCTTGGCAAAGTAAATATAAAGCTACCATAATTAGTACAAACGCGATATGCTTTTGTGTCATTTGTCACACTTCTTCATAAAGCTCTAATATAAAAAAAAAACTTACTAATTTTTATAAGAAAAGAAAGTAGCCTGAGACTACAAGGATTTCAGCATTCTATATCTTTGTGTTTTAGATCCACTTTGATGGCTGGGATAGTATTTATGACTATTGGATTGATGCAGATAACCCGGACATACATCCTGCAGGCTGGTGTGGAAAAACTGGACATCCTCTTCAGCCCCCTCTTAGTAAGATAATAAAAATGCAAAAATACAATAAATCTTTACTAGTCTATTTTCTTCTGCCTTGGCAAAATAATGTGCTGTAGCAGAGCCAAGTTGTGTAGTAAATCATTCCTAAAGTGAATGTTTATAAAATCTATAGAAATCAATGGATAGCTTGGGAAACACTGATAATTAAAACCTGTTATAATTGTGGGTATTCTGATTTTCAAGAAGAGAAAATGTATACATGTTTACTAATCCATGATAAGAATTCCAGGTGGATTTCTCAAAGGTTGGAGAAATCATTGTTTTATCTATAGTCATACAATTTGATTGAATAGGGAGACACGTAATGTAATTCAAATATTAACTTGGCCTCTTATTTAGCATTTAAAAAGAGATCATGAGAGGGGATATCATCATATTTTAGTGTAGACTTGGTCATTTTATAGTTCACATCCAACCTTTCGTGTGTGTGTGTGTGTGTGTGTGTGTTTGGAATGGACAGGATGGCAGTGGCCCTCCACAACAGGCCATTTCTCATGTGTCACCTTAGGAAAAATTAATTGGCCACCCTTGTGATTTGAGGAAATATGAAGCTAATGTTGAAGTTGATTTTTGTATTATTTGTCTAGGTCCACTGGAATTAGTAGAAGCTTTAGAACAAGGAGGGTGCCCTACAGCAGGCTGCAGGGGAGTTGGACACTTAAAAAGAGCCAGGCATATGGGCCATCACAGGTATGTGTTATGAAGAACTGGTGATTCAGTAGCTCAGCAAGAGGTGACCCATTAGAATAAAGTTGTGAATTTGATTTAATTGCTGTCCATGAGACAAGGTGTTGCAAAGAAAAAGGATGGTCAAGTATCCATTTACTTAGATTGTTTTGGTGACCATCACTCAATTGCATGACTTCATTGTGACCAGAATATAACACCTGATTAAGAGAGTGCTTACTACTCTCAATACCAATAATGTTTTAACTAATATGATGCTCCCTCGTAAGCGATTTCTCCTTAGCATTCAGCTAGGTATATTTGCCTGTTGAATAGGGCCCTTATTTTGTGTGGAGCTGTTAGTTTGATTCCTTAATGAAAATCTAAGCCTATATTGGCATTAAAGCTTTAATCTTGTAGCCCCACAATATTGGTTTTTTTTTCATAATTTTGCTCTTAAGTTATAAACCAAATATTTGAAGTCTTATCGGTTATTATAAGTCAAAGTTCAACAACATGTTTCAGTTGTATTGAAATTGATCAGTAAATATTATGCATTTGTCATTTGACTAAATCATATTTCAAGGATTTATCCGTTTCAATATTTTACAATGAATATGAAAACTAATTGTCTTCTTTAGCCTTCAGTTTTTCAGGTCCTCTCATCTATATGGGATATTAGAAAGAATACATCTACATTTGGTTTTCCTTCCCCTTGGATGGATCTTGACTAGAATACAAAGTTTACCTTTTGCCTAAACACATATTTATTTGTATTTGAATTATGAATGCCCGTAGACCAATAACAAAGAAAAGTACATTCAACGACTAAGCATTGTATTGATTCTAACTAACCCACTTGGCTAAATTAATAGTTTTGAGGAATTAGGCTTACTGGGTTTCATTTTTGCCTCTTAATGAATTGTGGGCTTAAATATTTTCCTTAAGATGGAGTGGAAAATAGCATGTGTAGAGGGAGTCAATAAATACATACTACATTTATTGTTGTATTTTTTGATTATCAGTTCGGGGAAACGAGCAGAAAGGTGCTATTATCTTATGGGCTTCCTGTCAGCAGCTAGATGACTAAGAATGAGGAACTAAACTATTAAAAGCATGCTTTTATTTAGACCACAAAAATAGTCGTAATAACTTGTATTTGCTGCTACAGTGGTTTGTAATTTAAAGTGATTACAAATTTGGTATACAAAAAGCATTGAAGTATAAGAGTGTAAATAGCTCTCAGGGAACTAACATAATATTGATATCACTCCCTGAGCAAATCCATATTGTCCCTGAACTCTCAAATCGAAATTCCATTTGAATTAATAGAGGTAGGATAATATGGGTGTAGTTGTTCACACCTGGCTTCAGTCCACTGGTTTTTTTTAATCTCTGTTGAAACTTTACTTAAATATACTTTTGGAAATGTTCATGACAAGGTGCATTTATGTTGTCAAGTAAGTGTCTGAAAGCAAGGTTAATCAGTCATTTTCCGATAGCACAATGCTTAAGTTGGATGAAAATGTGCAGTGACAAAGTATGACAGGTCTAAAATGAATGTCTTTTTAAATGCAAATGTTAATAAGGACCTCAGAGTTCTATAGTAATAAAAAAGATTCAGGTTTGCATACAAATGAATTACTCAATATCTTGTGTTTCTTTATGAGAACTCCATATTATATGCTATATTGGAGTAGAATAGGATTGCCAACTTTTTTGTAACTCAAGTTATTAAAGTTATTTAATATGTTATTGTTAAATTATTATCCAAGTTATTAAACTACAAACACTCATGCTGATCCTCTAAACTATATGTAAGTGTAAATTGTTCACAAAGACAAAACGACAAAACGAAGGGCCCACCAGTAGTTAACAATAGCATATACAAGAGCCAACATGCAAGATCGAATATAGGCAATACTTGTATTGAGCTCAGAATTTTGGTCATAAGTCATTTGCATTGTAGGTCTACTCTCGTTGTGACGAGACTTTACAACCATTTTTACAATGGTTCTTAAACAGTCATGTGGTTGTAGCTCCAAATCCAACTCATCCGATGATTGTTTTTTGCCCAAAAAAACCCCATGTAAAATCCCCCATAAAATGTTATTGCAGATGCTGCAATTGATTGTAAATGCAAGCCAGTTGCTAAGTGCTTCAGATATAATCACATGATCACAGGGTCATATAGCAATCAATAACTTTAAGGTCAGAAGTAAATTTTTTCGAGTCTGTCATAACTTTGAACAGTTGTTAAGCAACTGATTGTAAGTCAGTGATTACTTGTATGGTATTATTTAAAATATTTAGAAGAAAAAATAGGCCATCTCATGGATATCAAGTTACCCTTTCTTGGAAGGACATTTCACATATAAAGCTTTATTAATAAACCTTTTAACTGCCATTTTCCTCACCTTATTTGATGGGGGCATGTGGGAAAAGGACATTCACTGAACATTGAGGCTTCAGCAAGACTAACAGTAGATAGGTCTTAATTATATAACTTGTCTTCTGAGTTTTCAGACTTGTATTGGAGCCCATCCTGAGGGAATTTCTCCCAATAGAGTGGGTGCTTTGGGCTATTCTCTGTGTTGGGCTATTCTGTGGTCTGTGGATATAAATAGCACACAGAGAATAGCCCAAAGCACACACTCTACTAGAGAGAAATTCCCTGAGGATGGGCTCCAGTATGAGTCTGAAAGCTTGGAAGATTAAAGTTCTGGACATGGTGACTGACCGATATTGGATCCTGCTATAATATTGATTTTTAATTTTTCTCATGATCCTCTCCAATTTCTCATTTTGGTTCTATTCCTATATTATGTTTTAAGGGAATCCCCCAACAGTAAACTAGCAGAGAGTGAGTAGCTATTGTGTTTCCCTAAAAATAAGACCTAACCAAAAAATAAGCTTCAATGTGTCTTTTGAAGCAAAAACCCCAGTCTTATTTTCAGAGAAACACAGTATAACAAGTTCATTTGATAGACTTCTAGACATTCTATTAATATGAGTAAATAAAAATCTATGCATCAAGTTACAAGAATCTTTCAAAATGCAAATATAACCTTTTAGAATAAAGCCATTCAACCTGAAGCAAACAGACAATGGACCATAATCACTATCTCTGAAATACTAGTGGGTTGATTTCTTTTCCTTTTGTCCTCGATCCATCTGAGTGTAAATATTGGTGACCTCTTAACATAACCATTAGAAAATATATTTGAATAATTTCATGTAGATGTTGAAATTTCATTTTGTTTTGAGAAATTAAGTGTACATTTCAGTGAGGTTGGATGGGTCAGAAACAGGTATGGAAGAAAGGCTGGTCCACAAAATTCTAATACAATTGTAAGAGGCTTTTTCCTCACATTTGTTCCTGTTGCTCTATTTTCATTTGGAAGGATTAATCCATTCATTCCGCATTTTTCTAGTGTTTCTTAGTTTTGCTTAGTGCTCTTAGAAATGTACAGTGCATTTATACTGCAATAAAGTTCTCAAAGAGTTAATATAGAAATACTCTGTTTCTTTTGCTTTGGATTGCATTGAAACTAGGAGATAACATTGAGAGCTCTATTATTCTATTAAGCATGTTAAGTACTACAATCTGTGTAGTACTTACTTAAATTTAAATCCTAAAAGCCTGAAAAATCCCTTCCTTAGCAAAATTGCTGTCAAGCAAATTATATAATTTCTTATTCTTCACAAACATCCAATGTTCATGTTTTACTTGAAGGGGATATCCGATCCCTTTGTGTTCAAAGGCTCTACCTCAATTTATGGAGTAAATCAATTAACATTCACTCATTAATAAAAGGATTGTTATATAGAGGCTTGGAGCCTGTCTTTATTCATTGTTTTAAAAAAGCTGTGGGCTGCAAAGAATAGACAGAATGGAAAATAGTGGTTGATGGCTAATAGTCGATTGAGCTAATAGCCAGGGATTAAGATAAGCAAAGTCAGTAGTAAATGGTACTAATTAATTCTACTTTTCTTTCCATTCTGCATCATTGAAAATCATTAAAAACGCTCCTATGTATATGCAGTCAAAACTGAAGGTCTTTATTTCAAATGTTGCTTTTATCCTACAGGGCTGCAAATTTATATATAATATGAACATAATTCTCTTGTTCACAATGAGGCTTTTATCTTAATACAATAGAAACAGTGGTGGGATTCAATTTTTTTTTACTACTGGTTTTGTGGGCGTGGCTTAGTGGACATGGCAGGAGAAGGATACTGTAAAACGGGTCTTCAAACTTGACAGCTTTAAGACTTGTGGACTTCAACTCCCAGAATTCCTCCTGCAGTCATGTTAGCTCAGGAATTCTGGGAGTTGAAGTCCACAAGTCTTAAACTTGCCAAGTTTGAAAACCCTTGCTGTAAAATCTCCAGTCTGAGGTGATATTTGCCAGTTCTCTGAACTACTCAAAATTTCCGCTACCGGTTCTCCAGAACTGATCAGAACCTGCTGAATACTATCTCTGAATAGAAAGGATTGGAAAAAAAGTATATTGTGTGAAGAAAATCCCAGGCTAAGCATTATAGTGGAGGTAGTAAACTTACTGCACATGCATGGATCAGCAGGGAACTATGGAAGAAAGAAATAATAGAATTAATGATATTGGGAACTTTTATATTGGTTGGCTAATTGAAGCCCACCACATAATGCATATTATATTATAGCAGGTTCTATAATACTCTCGTCTCAGGGTATGTATATTCAAGACTGCACACATGTTTGTGCATATAGATATGTGAACCCCATGTAACTAATACAGACATTGGGCTGAGTTGCTGTATTCATGTTTATCATGTCGATTTTACATCTCATGAAGAAAGTTAGCTTAGCAGAACAAAGGCAGTTGCCAAAGTCCTAAGTCTAGTCTTTATCCCTTCCAGACTTGTGATACAATACTGACTTTCCTTCCTCCCTCCCTCCCTCCCTCCCTCCCTTCCTGAAATTTATATGGCTACCTATTCACTAACTATGACTGGGTGGCCTACAAGTAGAAAAACACAGGAGATATATATATTCTACTTGTAGGCCACCCACAGTCATAGTTAGTGAATAGGTAGCCATATAAATATATATCCCCCACCCCAAACAACAATACACAGTCAAATAAACCACTTGATGGGCTCCACCCCACTTTGGGTTCCCAAGTCTTCAAGGCCTTTTGAAAGAGTGTCAGTGGGAGCTAGTCCAATTTCTGAAGGATGATGTGCCAAAGGGAGGGAGCAACCACTTTCTGAGTCTTTAGCATCACAGGCCTGCTTGACTTAGGAGTCTAGCAATTTAATATCTGACTTTCTGCATGCAACTATTTATCAACCAGTGACTTCCATGCCCTCATTCATATTATTGAACTTAAATTAACAGGCACATCTGTTTTGAGCATAGGATGAAAAGGATCCACTGACTTGTAAGAAAGTGACAAAATAACCCTAGCTGGTGAAAGTCAGTGAAATGATAAATGTGTCTTATTTGAAAAGAAGACATAATGCTTAAATCTTCAAAGGGTATGAACAAAAATAGATTTAATATGAGAATGAGGGTTGTTCTTTAATTCACAGCTTTAATTTAAAGCTCAAAAAGCTTAGTGTTATGGACTATTAAAAATGAGCTAAACAATACACAAACTAGACTGTTTTTATGAGTAACATTTCATAATGAATAGGCATTTGATTAGGACTCCCAAGAGGTTTGTGATAATTTTGCTACAACGAGTGAAATGTGAGACAGTATGTGGAAAAATGGCAATGGCTTTGGAGAAAAAGAAACAGCAGATAAAATATTAGGGTTTTTAAAAACTTATATGAAGAAAGGCCTTGGGTGGAAAAGAATTAACATATTTCATGAAGTCAGATGCTTCAGTTTATTGATAAGAAAAACTGAAATTTTTAATAAACCCAGTGAAAACTAATGCAAACTCAACTGGGAAAAGGTCCAGAAAAAAGAAAAGGAAAAGGAAAAAAGGAGAAAAGGAAAAAACAACAATAAAGACAGTAATAAAGAATTGGCTTCCAAACTTTATGACATTAAGCATAAACTAATTTGTGCTCATTTTTATAATTTCCTGACTTCAGAAAAGAATATTGAAGGAAGGCAAGTAGGCAACAGTAAAATCTTTGGATTCAGTAATATTATGATATCTTTGCTGATTTCACAAACAGGGTTATCTTTTCAAAAGTTTGGAGAAAATAAAGCTGGCTGCTTTTATCTGAAGAAGCTAAATTGAGGAATAGATACTGAAGATTAGTATCTCATGGAACAATAAGATGGAGTTGAGATTTTTAAACTGTCTTTTGGGGCACCTTCAGATTTCTCGAGCAGTTGATGAGGTTCCATGAAAGACTAAAAAATGTATTCACTTGAACATTGCCAATTTTCTATTAAGAGTTTTGCCTCTTGATCAGATTAAAGTGTTTTTAAAAAAATGAACAGCTCCACAACCTGAAAGTTTGAAAAACCTGAAATAGACTGTGATCCTCACATTGATATTTATAATTACTTTTCTTTCCTCTTATGAGAACTTATAAAATGCAAGGGTTCTGTTTCATATATTTTTCTTGACAAATAGTACAACGGGGCAATAATATTTAGCTAAAATAACAAGCTACTATATATACTGTATATTGTCTCAGTAGTATTAATACTCCAATAAAAAAGAAAGGAAAAGTGGAAAAGGAGAAAAAAACTCATTTTTATTCATAATTCTTGCTATCCTGTCAGAGTACTACATTACTTTGCTCATTCCCTTAATCTATTGACCCTTGAGAATATGGCTTTCTTATTTCTAATAGTAAACAAAATATTTGTCTTTAAATTATAAATATACATCACAAATTAATATGCTTCATAACAAGCTTCCCTGAAAATAAACATTGTGTGCTTCAACATACTTGGCAGAATGTGATTATTAGGAATTGCTATTAGGAACACAAGACATTTATGCTTCGTCTGTTAATGAATTCCAAGTAATTGCAGAGAAATTGTAACCAATATGATGTTTGTTTCAGCTAGGAACTGCTTTAGCATCTAATTTTCTGTTTTTTCTTCTCTGTCTCTAATTTTCAGTGTGGTCAACTGCCCATATTCTGAAATAAACCTAAACAAAGAGCATACTCTTTCGGACCGTTTAAGTGGGGAGACCCCTCTAAATAATCCACCTATGCATTGGAATCGAAAATCAGAAATAAATGAAAGATCAGCCTCTCCTATAATCAAGTAATTATGTCAATTAAATTATGCTCAAACTTTATTCTACTATATGTTTTATTCTGGCTGAACCTGAAGCACATATGTTATCTGTGTGGTATTTGTTTCAGGATACGCTCAAAAGTCTGACTGATATTTTTTAAAAATGTGAATTTTTTAAGTAAGTTCATTTTGTACTTGTGAAAAGAACTTGGAAGTTCTTTTGACTCATCAGTATGTATTTCTTAAGACTGAAATTTAGAGAAGTGCTTTAGGTCTCCATTGTAAGGCTCTAGTTATTCCCAGGGGATTTGGGCTTTTTTCTTCCTCTCGAGCAGCTTAATCCCATATGTCATGAGAACATGTGTTTGAATCTTTCTACAATTCGGAAAAAAACCCATGGGGAATTGTTCTTCAAGAAATAACAACCCCAAATTCAATTGGGCATTGGAAACAAATTGCAGTGATTTCAATTCTGATAAGTATAAATGTCTTTTGTTGATGGCATATATCGATTATACACATTCTTGTATTTATAATGCTTGGTTTTATTGAAGATAAATCCTTCAACCAGAGGCACACAAAGCTGGGGTATTAGGTTACAGATTTTCTCTCTTTTTGTGAGAGTAAATGTATAAGTTAAGGCATTGGTTCTTCACCACAGACCCTTCTTAAATACCTTTGTGAACATGGACCGTGGCCACGGACCACCAAGACTTAACTCAAGGTCTAAATCATAAAAAAATTTCAAGTCTTTGTGAACTACCTATGATGACTTTGCAGACCCTCAGGAATCTGCAGGTGACAAATTGAGAACCACTGTGTTAAAATAGAGAATCAGTAGAGCAGAGCTGCTGAGGCATAGTGGTTAGAATGCAGAACTGCAGGCTGCTTTTGCTGCTTGCTACCTGCCCGCAGTTTGATTCTCACTGGCTCAAGGTTGACTCAGCCTTCCATCCTTCTGAGGTGGGTAAAATGAGAACCCATATTGTTGGGGGTAATATGCTGACTCTGTAAATTACTTAGGGAGGGCTGTAAAGCACTGTGAAATGGTATATTAGCCTATCAAACATCTGAACATGAGGTTTGCATGCATTATTAATATATATGAGACCAACTTTTTATGAGACCAACTTTGCCATTGATCTAAAAGCGGCAGCAGATAACAGTTATGGCTGCCACATCACTGAGTGGGATATCTGACAAACAATGTTAAACCTTTGTTGAAGTAACTGCACTAGTTGTAAGTCAGATATCACATCAGGTACAACATTTTACTTATGATTTAAGCGCTTTCAGTTGAAGAGAGTACTTGATGTATTTCCTTTGCTATTAAACAGAAGGAGTCTTACTGCATATTCCAAGATTCTCAGTGGGCCATTGTGCTTCCTGGTGGGTAGATCTTCTCAGTGGTGGCTCCTGTTTTCTAAAACGGTCTCCATCTTTCTGTTTATGAATATTGGACAAATGGTTCTATTTTGCTTTGTTCTCTTTTATCCTTTTTCACTGAAGTTGTTTTTGTTATCTATATTTCAGTTTGCATTTATTATTTGCTTTAACATTTAGTTGACAGTCATTTCTTAACTATGATTGAATTTTCTTTTATTACTTGCATTTGTTTTTAAATAAAATAAGATGCAAATGAAAACACGGAAAATGATACATCAGGCCTTGAAAAATCTGACAAGGTGGCTGGGCCTGGAGCCCCAAGTGTGTAAAGGACCCAATTTTCTATTTATATTGCCATGAATGGATTGCAATATCTCCTGGATGCTATATGTATTTAATTTCTGGTTTTGTATTGTGTTTTTAATCTTATTATTGTTTATATGATTCTTTGCCACCCAGAATCATTGGTTTGATATGGGTAGCTATACAAACTGAATGAATGAATGAATGAATATGTTGAAGTTGCTCTTGCTGAAAAAATTAGCTGTAGGTCAGTTTCTGAGATCTTAGATTTATAAATGCTTTAAATAAATAGCTAATTAATAAAAGAGATACTCAGTAATATTCAGTTTTATTTTCCAGTTTAAGTTTTTCATCAATACAGGATTTTAAATAATTGTTCTTTTTTTAATATATAACAGTAGCAGAAAATGTCCCAGTCCCAGTCATATTGGAGTAAAGCCTGCACCTCATTTACAGCCTTCAAAGGAGGAAGATACAGATTTGAAACTTCTTTGCAAAAAGCCTTTAATGTGTGATGTCAAAGAAGAAAACTACAGGTATCTATCTGGTTTTTTTAAAAAATACTATATACTTTGGCTCTGATCTATATAAGCTGAATACCATTATTTGCTGCTTCCCAGAACAAAATATTTTACTCAGACCCTTAATTGCATCATATAAATGATGCAGCCTACAATCCATTTGCTAAACTCTTGAAAGTCGTTCCTAACATTTTTCTGTATGCTTATAAATGAGATTGGTTATCATTCACTACTAGATATTGTAGTTTTTCTAGTTCGTACAAAAGGTTAAAGGATTTTGACTGGAAGAATCCCAGAAGAGAGCCTTCTCTGCCATTGCCTTTTCTCCCTAGAAGTGAGAGGGGTCCCCACTCTCTAGGCTAGGCTTGTCCAACCCGCGGCCTACGGGCCACATGCGGCCCAGGTCGCCTCGTAATGCGGCCCAGTGCCTACCCCAACCTTCGTGCGAGAGCCAGCGAGGAGGAGGAGGAGAGGCAGGCGCGAGGCGGGGCGAGGCGAGTGCCAGGCCAAGCAGCAAGAGAAAAGGCGGGTGCCGTCAGAGTGCCACCTCCTGCTGTTGCCGGCACCGCCGCCGCTTCTGCCCCCGCCGCTGCCGCTTCTGCCCCCGCCGCTGCCGCTGCTGTCCCCACCACCGCCGCTTCTTCCCCCGCCGCTTCTTCCCCCGCCGCTGCCACCGCTTCTGCCCCCGCCACCGCTTCTGCCCCCGCCGCTTCTTCCCCCACCGCTGCCACCGTTTCTGCCCCCGCTGCCACTTCCTCCCCCGCCACCACTGCTGCTTCTGCCCCCACCACCGCTTCTGCCCCCACCGCTTCTTCCCCCGCCACCGCTTCTTCCCCTGCCCCCGCTGCTGCTTCTGCCCCCGCTGCCGCTTCTGCCCCCACCGCGGTGGGGGCAGAAGCGGCGGCGAGGGCAGAAGCGGTGGCGGGGGCAGAAGCAGCAGCGGTGGAGGGGGAAGAAGCGGCGGGGGCAGAAGCAGCAGCGGGGGCGGGGGCGGGGGCAGAAGCGGCGGCGACGACACCCCTGCTCTAGGCCTTCAAAAAGAGTGTTAAGACCTGGCTCTGCCAATTGATATGTGAGTCAAACAATGATTTGCAACCTTGGGGATGTTGGTATCATGAGGATGTTCTCTCTGCCTTTTTAACTGTAATTTTTAATATTTTCACCCTAACCTTTTTAATTCTGCTTTTAACTTTATTCTTACTTATGCTTTTATCATAGCTTTTTTATTGTAAACTGTCCAGGATCACTTAGATGAGTTCGGTGGTTTAGAAATGTGATGGATGGATAGGTAGGTTGGTGGGTAGGTGGGTGGACGGATAGATGAATCAATGAGTATAAGGATAACTATCAAGTGCTTATCAAGTACTTAGGAAGCAAGGGCTTGGCAGCACAAGAAAACAACAGCTAATTACTTAATAGCCAGCCATCAACACCCCAGTCAAATTCTAAAGACCCACAGGCACCATATAAATACCACACACAGAATAGCCTAAAGCACACACTCTGCTAGAGAGAAGTTCCCTAAAGATGGCCTCTGAAAACCTAACCTCTGGTCTTGATGACCAACCCAGATTGGATCGTGAAATAGAAACCTTGAAGATTGAGAATACTTACATTTGCCATTTAGAATTATAAATTATAACTAGTAACAACTCCAATTGTGTGCTTGTAGAAAGTCAGCACCACAAATGACCTAATCCCTTAATCATTATAAAGAGTGCCAGATGTAGTCAGACATTTAGCATATTGGGGGGGGGGGGAACCTCTTTCGTAATATTAATCATTATGTAATGATAGAGTGCAGTGCAGTGCATTGAAGTGATACAGGAAACCCTATAAAGACATTAGCAAGTTTTGCGAATAAATATTTGTTAAAAATAGGTAAAATTAGGCTCCTAATAATGTCCTTAACATCAGTCTAGATAGCAGGAGCAATCAGAGAGAGGATCATAAAAACCAAGGGTGCAGCTGTGACATTTGATCAATCGTATTGGCAAAAAGTCAATTTGGTGTTTGTGACCTTATAATTTAAGCCTCATTCTATTTTATGTTTATGCAACATCAAAAAAAAAAAAAAAAGAGTGGGGCTTCACTTTCCAGATTGTGAGTGTCACTTTGACTTAGTTGATCTAAGTTTGAGCAATATTATCATGTATAAACAGAGGCATAGAATAAAGAGACTAAACCATACAAAGAACGGCTGCAGGTTTGGGTTCTGGCTAGTCTAAAGAAAAGAAGAATTGGGGGCGACTTAATAGCAGCATTCCAGTATTTGAGGGGCTGCCACAAAGAAGAGGGGGTCAAATTATTCTACAAAGCACCAGAGGGCAGGACAAGAAATAATGGTTGGAAATTAATCAAGGAGAGAAGCAACTTGGAACTAAGGAGAAATTTCCTAACAGTGAGAACAATTAACCAGTGGAACAGTTTGCCTTCAGAAAACCTCACTGCGGGTTTTTAAGAAGAGATTAGACAGTCACTTGTCTGAGATGGGTATTGATTCTCTTGCTTGAGCAAGAGGCTGGTCCAAAGAAACGTATGGTAGTCCTTCATTTGCCTATAGAAATTCTTCTGCCTTTTTTTCTGCAGATATAACGGTTTATTGCTTTAATTAAAAATACTACTACTACTTGTTTATGAAAGAAAAAAGAAAATAGCATCAGAGAACTAATAGCAATAAAGACAGAGTAAAATCACTGATTGAGAATTTGATGTAGGGATTATGCTACAGATAGTATAATGAAATATCCCAGAGTTAATATTAAAATGTACTATATTCATAACATCCATAGTATTAACTAGTTATAACAACTTATGACTAGGGAGAAAGCATCAGGTTGGGAAAGTTAATTGCATGTAGTTCATATTTCATAGCACTGTCTGGATTACTGCAGCATCCTACTTAATTAAAAAGCAGTTCAGTCCCTTGAAACCTGGATCAAATTATTTTCAGTAATTATAATGTCTAGAAGCTTATTTTTCAATATTAGCATCCTCCTAGAAAGGAGAACAGAGGAACCAAAAATGAATATTCAGTCTTTTCCTAATTATTAGGAAATTCTGCAGACCAATGGCAAGTATTGTCACAGAAATTCTATATCAATTTTAAAACTTCAATAAAAGTGTCTTTACCATTTTAATGTTAATATTCTATTTATATCTTTTGTTTAGTTTTGCATTTTCTGCATTCAGAAGGTACAATATCTCATTCTTCCTGTCACATTTATTTCTTGAGTTCAGTCTTTTTTTAAATGAGCATCAAATATTTTTGAAAGCTGTAACATAGCTAGAAATAAGAAAAATATTAGAGATTAATTAGTACCTAAAGTAGTAGCGCTTTTTAAATTAATAGAATCTTGGTTAACCCAATGGCTTAGTAATGACTACATTTTCCTGGAATATGTGTCTTAGTCTCCAGAAGTCAGACATTTCACAAATGTGAAGAAGTATGTAGAAAGTTAGCACCCACCCTTCTCCTAGAAAAACAAAATATTCTAGGAAATGTTTAAAAAAGGCAGAATATAATATTTTTCCTAAAGGAGAAACATGTTTCTAAAGACATAAACTCAGAGCCTCAGCTCCCTGCCCGCCCCCAGCAGATATTTTGGTGTCAACCTATCTACAAGAGAAAAGGCTAGGCCAGCTCATCTACAAAACAAAAGACCTTTACCCTCGGGACATAATAGGATTAGCCCTCTACCCATCTCACCACATGGTACCTGGGAATATTGTATCACCCAACAAGATTCAACCAAGCCTGGGACTCAAGACAGTCTACAAACTTACCCCTGCATGGCTCCATGAGAGTTTCATAACCAATCAGAATAAATACCCTTCCCACAGGAACAGGAAGCAAATTCAAGGCCCAAGAGAAGGTATAAATTTTTCTCTCTCTCTCACCCATGTGCTCAGTTGCCCAGGACCTCAAACCATGTGGTCCTGTCCACCATTAAATCATCTTTCCAAAGAGCCTTACGTTTCCAATGTCTTTCTTCCCACTTGGGACTGAACCCAGATGGACATTTCTTCCAACAACTGCAACCTAAATATTTCTTTATTAGTTGAACCAGCCAAAACTTTTGACAGGTTCATGTGCTGCTTCGAAGGTGAAGCGTCAGAAACTGAAGCAGACACATGAGTCTTAAACCAGTGTTGGCTATTTTGAAGGGATGACGAGGGATACTTTATTTGCAGTTCTCTGTCCTGCAGAGTCCAGAGAGCTGCAAATAAAGCAACTGTTCAGTCCTATTTCATGGCTGAGTAATACCATTTTTTCAGGTGATTCCAAATTGTCTTGCCCTTCCCAAGACACAAGGGAATGCGCCAGGGATGGGTTTCAAAAATTTCAGCAACTGGTTTTCTGCCCGGTTGGGTGAGTGTGGCTTAGTCTGCCTCCTGTACTATGGTGGGGGAGGTTTTACCCTCCCCGGGCTCTGGAGGCTTTCCTCGAGCCTCTGGGGGGCGGGAAACGGCCTCCCTGGGCTCCAGAGGCCCTCAGAAGTCCAGAAATGGGCCCATTTCCAGAACTCCCAGGAGTCCCATTTTTCGCCTTCCCCAAGCTCTGGAGGCTTTCCTTGAGCCTCCGAGGGGGGGAAATGGCTTCCCTGGGCTCAGGAGGCTTCCAGAGCCTCTGGGAGGCCCAGTTTTTGCCCTCCCCAAGCCTCCACGCAGGCCCTGGCATTCAAAAGAGGCCGCATGGGGACTCCTCGGAGGGATGGGGTAATTAAAATGATAAAATTAGTTACCGGTTTGCCAAACTGGGGTGAACTGGTAGCAGCCCGCCCATGGAATGTGCTTAATCCTCTTCATATATGCGTAACCAGAAACTGTTTCCCTGAAACTGGAACATGTAAATGTTGAGTGGCTGTTCACCAATGATACCATTCATTCATAGATCACATTAAATCATATTAGATCATATTAAACCATGCTTAAGAATTAGGTAGCTTCACAACACATTAAGCCACAGTGATTTATAGTTCATAGTAGCCAACTTCACGCCACATTCTAACCAAAAAATCGAAGTCAGTGAAATGATACTGAAGTTTCCTTCACTATATTCTGAACGTTATTGAATTAACTATTAAAAATAAATTTGATCTTATATTGCCACAAATGATAGGGGGCATCATACTTAACTGTCTAGGTACAGTAGGTGAATCTGCATTTTGTTTTGACCAGTTTCTCTTAAATGTTTTCATTGCTCCAGAATGTAGATACTGTTCAACATAAGAAAATTCAGTCACAACTCATTGTGGTCATAAATTAAGGCATCCACCAGTCCAGATCAATTTTTCTGACACTTTTCACAGTGATTAAAAAAAGTTCAGCAAACCCATTTTTTTGAATGGGCAGGGGATTTTTTTGCCAGAAACTGGCAAAAATGCTGGAAACCAACAAAAACATCACAAATTAGTCACATGACCTTGGGATATTGCAACTTGTAAAGTGCAGTCACATGTCCACTGGGAGGTGCACGTGACGTATTTCAGTGGCCAGAAGTGCATAGAGCACCCATCCTGAGGTCTTCGTAACTGCAAACTTTCATAAAATGACTAGCCATTTGTTTAGGACTACCTGCTTCATATTTTTTAAATGTTGCACATTTCAATATTGCAACATACTTATGATTCTAAATTTAAATAATGGATTTATACTGACTAGTTTCTATTGCAGTTATTTCTTTAAAACTGAACCCAATTCTTTGTGTTATTACTGACATTAGATAACTGTTAATTATCATCTATATTTCAACATGGAGCATCTAATAATTAAAATTTAAGTGCATTTTTATTTGTTAAATTATAGAATTGTTGGTCAATCTGCCCTTTAATTGTGCTTTTTTGGTTTTTTCACATGATTGCAGTTGCAAAGGGAGATATAGCCAACCAGTTTTATTTTTACTTAAAAACTAAAATCTATAACAATAAAAATTGCTTTATGACTCAGTCTTATGTGTCCACCAGATCTATTGATAGCAAACACAGAATTCCAATATAACTTGTCTTTTTGCTTGATATGTTTGAAGATAATTTTTCTCTTTCCAGATAAACATAAATGTACCACCTGCCAGCAAATCCTGGCAAGAAACTGCCTTTTGCCCACATTCCTACTTCATCTGCATGGCTAATTAAAAAGGAATGACACTTCAGTATGCAACAGCTTTTACGGCTTAGCATAATTTCCTAGCCCTGAAAATAGTTCAGTCATTTTTCTGGAGTATAATGGAATACTGTAAATTTAACTGGAGGATCTGAAATGTCTTACGTTTGACAGCTGTGTATAGAATATATTGTGTAAAAGTGGCAGGAAAATTATTATGTACAAATTATCCTGAAAAATGCTAGTTTTTCCTTGCTTGTTTTCAAGGTTGTCAACTCTGCATCTTTAGTAGTCAGACACCAACGTTTTATGTTTGACATTCGTTATGAAATTACTCATTCAGAGAATGATAATGACTTTCCACTAAGTCACTGGTCTTCAGTAGTTCCTCCTTCTGAAACCAATTACAGTTAGTAGTGATAGGATGGAGAGACATCCAGCCCTAACTTTCTCCTTTGTAGGGTGCCACAGGACTTGATTCTCCCCGTTCCTGTTTTAACATGTACATGAAACTCATCCATCCAGATCATCCCTCAGCATTGGGATAAATGTCATCAGTGCAATCATCATCTCCTTTTAATGACTCCATAATCCCTTTTGGGGTGGAGTCTGTGCAACTGAATGGAGCTGTGTATTTACTGGCCAGACACCCTTCCTGTCGCCAGTGCAGAGTTTTGTTCAGCAGATATATTCTCATTGTGCTCACAGAGAAATATCTGCCTCTACCTAGGATCGAACTCACAGCCTCCTGATTGTGAGGCGAGAGCTTCACCTCTAGGCCACAGCAATTTGACCTCTTAAATGTCATCAGTACAAGGATAATACTTAATTGTACACCTCTATCCCAGACCATCCACATGAGGTGTTTTCTGATGCCTGGAGGAAGTATGGGTCTGGTTGCAGAAATCTTGGCTTCAGATCAACCTAAATTGGCTGTACAATCCCTCAAATCAGTGGTTTTCCATCATTAACTCTGAATGGGTTTACACTGCCATGGGCAAAGTTGATGCACAGTGAGAAGTTTCTAACGGATTCATGGCTCCAGCTTGAGGAGCTTTTGTATAAATACGCATTGTTCACTTGTGGCATCTGTTCCTAAATTGAGAGGCATTGCTTGCAGCCACACACGTTTTAGATGTTTCTTGGAAGAACTGTTGTAATGTATTCCATGTGAGGCTGCCTTTGAAGACTGTTTGGAAGCTTCAGCTGGTCCAGGACATAGCAACAAATGTAATTTTGGGTGTACTATGGCATGCCCATGTAACACTGCTACTATATAGATTCCATTAGTTCCCAGTAAGCTTCTGGCTAATGGTCTCCTTTAAAGACCTACATGGCATGGGACCAGATTGCTTGCAGGACTCCCCAGTTCTAGTGGTTTCTACCCATCTCACAATATTTGGCACAATGAGTATGTTCTGGGTCCCCTAGTGAAGGAGTGTCCCTGGTGGGTCCCAGAAAGTGTGCTTTCTCTGTCATGGCACCAGCCCTATAAACCAGCTTCCCCTGATATGTGAATGGTTGTGACTGTTGGTCTTTTAGAAGGCTGTTTCTCCAGGCATTGGAATGGGATATTAATTCTGGACTTCTGGTGTGAATATATGTGATAAGTGGAAATTAAGTTTTTTTTTTATTGAAACCCCAGTTGGTTTCTTTTTAGTTTTAATAGAATGCTACAGTTAACTTTGTTCACTGTCCAGAGGTTGATTTTTTTTAGATGGATGAGAGGTCATATATATTGGATGGACGGATAAATTTCCTATAATTTCTAGATTAGGAATATACAATGCTTCTAGTTTTTGACTGCTGGGAACAGGTTTTTTTTTAAAAAAAAAACTTACATCTACAGCTCCCCACTTTATATGATGCTCCACTCTAATGAAATCATCTTGCCTTCTAGAGATCTAAAGATATAATTGTTTTGGGGAGTTTTTTATTTATGGGAGACAATGCAGTTGGAAATACATTGGGTTTCGGTTTTGTACCATTTTATATAGTAACCAGCAAAATTGATTATGTAAGTTGATTATTATTGATTATGTAATATTAGGTTATGAAACCAGACTAATTGTTATTGTTTTGCTTTGATTTCAGTTTCTATGTTTTATTTTATATATGATACATTATAATTTGTATTATACATCTTATAAAATGTTTAGCTAGAGGTGAAAAAAACCCTATATTATTATCATTATCAGATAATTAAATGTGAAGCTTTTGTATTACTTAGGGGAGAGCACGCCAAAGAACTCACTGGGAAAGATGGCTGTGAAGAAAGAAAAATGGAAAATGAAGTATTATCTATAAATGAAACCAAAGGTAGCTGCTGTTTCATGCTATATGTGCTGTACAAGAGTTTTAACAAATTAGTGACACAAATTAATACTTTCAATTGGCTTTATGGAATAATTTCATCAATGAAACATTTTATTAAAAAAACAGAGCCACGCTTGCCTTCATAAGATTGTTTGGTTTTAGATTGTCTTTATGGATTCAGGCTGTGTCCCTCTGAATTCTACGGAGTTCATAATGGCTAAAAAAAAAAGAGAGATATAAGTAAACATACAAATAATGATTAATACTAAGTGACTAAAGATGGAATTTACTTAATTATTTTTTTATTTAAAGACATAGGATTATTTTAAATCCCACGGGGCGCTAGGCAGTTTACAGAACACAAACATACTAACAAAGTAGATGATGTCATCATCATCATCTTTATTATCATCAAACTAGTAGTTGTAGACAAAGAAAGAATGCAGAATTTGATCTGTAAAAATGGAAGGAAAAGCAATCTCACATTGGAGAATGTAGAGGTGTTAGGTGGGTTGTGAGTGACCAGTTATAAGTTGCAGTAAATTGTTCAGCCAGGACTAGTGTGTGGTGGGTTTGTGAAATTGGCATTTATGGACAACCATAAAAAGGAGATAAATTGAACAAAATATTGTACAGGAGTGCCCAGTGAGAAATTTCAGGCTTAGGATTTTTAAAAAAGAAAAACAGTGACAATCACAGCATTATACACCGCCCATCATATAACAAATTCTGGACGGCTTTGAAGCAAAAATTAAAACAACACAAAAGCTGTATTAAAACTATTAAAACCAAAAACAAAATCCTGGCACCAAGTGAAACTTCTGATTTATAATCCCTTCATCCCAGTGTCTGCAGGTCCGCCTAAATTTTCAGTGCTTTACAGAAGACTAGAAGGGTAGATCTTCAGGGGGCAAAGTGTTCCATAGCGCAGGGGCTACTGAACGAAAAGATACACTTCCTAGCTCCCATAAGATGGCAATATTTAAGAGAAGGAACTAGGAACATCCCAACTACCATTGGGAGCTGAAGCAATGATATAGTTTTTTCAAAATGCAGGGGGAAATGATGGCTGAGCAGTTTCCATTGTTTTTCAAAGAAGATAAGTACATAAGGTAGTTTAAACTGTGTTCAAGAAAATGTAGTTATATATCTATTTCAGACATAATTAGTACAGATTAGAGTATTTCTGATACTCTATAGATATATTCATTAATTAATGCCATTTAGTAATAAGTCAAATGGGCCAAGTATGTTATACTGAACATACTTTACAAGTGTCTTCATATCATATGTACAATAACAAAACTTGTTTTATTATTGCTTGCAGACAGGAAGGAAACCAATAGCAGAAGTTCCCATCTACAGCCAGTCATTTTATCTTCCAAGCTCACAATTCCTGCATTTCCATTGCGGTGGGAACAGCACAGTAAGCTCCTTCCTACAGTAGCTGGGATTCCTGCCAGTAAAGTTTCTAAATGGAGCACAGACGAGGTATGTCTTAAAATGGAATTTTCACTTTAAAAAAGTGAAAAACTTTAATGGACTTTTTGCTAAAGAAAAAAAAAACCGAAACAATGATTTATGGATTTAATTATTGAGAAGAGTAAGAATTAAATAAGAGGATGAAGGGATTTCTGGAAGATTTAAGAGGCAGGGGAGACAGTGGGTTTGTTAATAAGGTCGGAAGTCATCTATTTTAATTTCCTTGGTTGTTTTCCTTCCTTCCTCTTTTTTTTCTTGAATGTTTTTATATATTTAATAAAAATATTTTTAAAAATGGAATTTTTATTCACCATCAGCTAATATTACTTGATGGAGCTCTATTAGAATAGGATATATCTTAATCCATTGTGATGATATATTCATTGCATATTTCTATTTTGCCTTTTTATATTTTAGTAGTGATTAGGAGGGGATGCTATTATCTATCATAATAAAGTAGGCTAGTGAAAGTGAATACTGATCTATTTATGGGCTATTTTTTTTCTTCCTTTATCAGGAGAAAGGTATTTTGTATTGCCCTTTTTATTGATTTGCTAAATTTACTTCCCACTGGTCATTCACCACCCAAGATGGCATACTGTACGTAGCTTTCCCCCTATTCAGGTACAGCCTAGTGAAATAGGTCTGACTGAAAGTGAGAGCACACTCAACTCCACTACTGACCTTCTATGGCAGGGGTGTCAGACTCATGGGCTGTGGGCTAGATGTGTCACAGTGGCCACACCCATCCCGTTTAGTGAAGGAAAAAAGGTCACGATATGTCATGTGACTACATGACGCTGCTGGTTTGACATCCCTGTTTTATGGTGTCCTTCTGCTCCTAAAACCTCTGCAATCACATCCGCTTTCTGAATATGCTTTTAAGAGAGCTTGCTTCCATTTTTTCCCCCTCTGTTACTGCCATAGAAGTGAGAGAATAGAGATTCCAATGCCTGATTCCTTTGCCTGGAGTGCACAATCTCACAGATGACGTGTGTTAGTGCTTTGGCTCTGCATTTGCCTCCTTACAGCTCACCCTAATTTCAATAAATTGAATTTCAAGTTTAATGGCAGATTATATTCATCTTGTACCTTAGCTCAGGATAATTTTAGTACATGTCACAAAGATAAGTATCTTCTTCAGGAGATTCAGCCTTCTACATATGTCTAACCCCATTCTAGAGATATTTTAGGAAATCTTGGAATGCTCTATTTCTCCTTCAGACTATTTTACTCTGAATGTTAATCCTGCAAATTGGAAGCAATTCACATTGTTCTTTTCATGGTGTTTTGGATGAAACAGGCCTGTTTTGTTGCTAGACTCTCTGTAATGTTCTGTTCCCAGACTTACTCAGTTTTCCCTTCCTATCTATGAAAGCAACATTTTTCCTTCTTTTTTCATGTTTTGAGTAGTAAACAGTATGTTCTTCTGATTGAAAGAATCCATTTCATTTTGCTGGTGCTACAGATGTCAACATACAATCCATTCCTTTCATCTTTCATTGTATTCAGCTTTCTTATGTTCTTGCTTCTTAAATTCCATGTTTCCACCACAGTTTTTTGCAACTTTGAATTTCTTTTCCTGAATGTCCTGAAGGCTTTACTCTAGCTGTGTACTGATCAACATTAATTCTTGAAAAGATCCTCAACACTTCCTCAATAGTGTGTTGAAGGCCATCCAACCTGGGAGGCCATAATCCTGCATTATCTCATCAATCACTTTATTTTGTGTATCAGTTTAATATTCTTGGTAAAATATCAGTTGGTCTATCATTGCTTTCTCCCATTCTTTATGGCTTTGCTATTGTCACTAAAGTGAGCCTTCATCTCCAACATCTTCCTATATGGCTGCCCCAACGGTGCTTTTTTCAAGAGGCAATTGGACTTTCTGGTTTTTCTTTGACTGGATGGTGGGGAATGGAAAGATTTATACTCCTTGCAGACAGCTGGTCATTTGCATTCTTTTAGCAGAAGAATGCAAATGACTAGCTGTTGGCAAGGAGTATAAATCCTTCCATTCCCCACCATTCATTTAGAGCTGAAGAAGCTTCTTGGTGAGAAGCGAAACGTCTTCAAAGAAAAACCAGAAAAGTCTAGTTGCCTCTTGAAAAAAAGCACCTTTGGGACAGCCATGACCTGGATGACTGAGAATCTCCATAGACATTCCTATATTGCTGTTACATGATATACAGTAGGTGCCTGTTTGTCTTAGCTGGGCAGAGGGATGACTTTCATGGCTTGAATGATCCCACTAGAACTATTTACTTTCAGGATATAACTCCCATTTTTCTTTGATCATTCATCCCAGGAATATGACCGTGCTGCAGGGAAGGAGCATTGATGGAGTTGCGGTGGGGCTTAGAGTCTAAATAGCAATCTTGCTTCATTGACATTATTTACATCAGTAAATTTGAAGAGGCGGAATGCATGATATGTAGACAAAATGCTGTTACAGGTAGTACTTCTAGAGCTCCCCAGTTAGGGTTGAACAGCACGGGTTTGTTAAGAACAGATCATGCCAAACCAATCTTATTTCATTCTTCAACACAGTGACTAAATTAGTAGACCAGCAAAATACTGTGGAAATAATATATTTAGATTTCAGCAAGGCATTCAACAAAGAGGACCACAACCTACTTCTTAGTAAGCTAGAAAAAAGTAGAATAGATAGCACCATCACTAGATGGACTCACAACTGGCTGGCAAACCATACTCAACAAGTAGTCCTTAATGGGTCTAAGTCTACATGGAGGGAAGTAAGCAGTGGGGTGCCACAAGGTTCTGTCTTAGGCCCAGTACTCTTCAATATCTTCATTAACAACTTAGATGAGGGAATAAAAGGGGAACTTACCAAATTTGCAGATGACACTAAGCTGGCAGGAATAGCTAACACCCAAGAAAATAGGCTCAAGATCCACATGGATCTTGACAGACTAGAACACTGGGCCATATCTAACAAAATGAAATTCAATGTAGAGGAAAGTAAAGTCCTATACTTAGGCAAGAAAAACCAAAAGTACACATACAGACTGGGTGAAACCAGGCTCAATAGCAGTAACTGTGAGAGGGATCTTGGAGTCTTAGTGGACAACCAGCTAAATATGAGCCAGCAGTGTGCAGCCGCCGCCAAAAAAACTAATGCAATCCTAAGTTGTATTAACAGAGGGATACAATCAAGATCAAGGGAGGTATACTAATACCACTCTATAAAGCCTTAGTAAGACCACACCTAGAGTACTGCATCCGGTTTTGTTCACCACATTACAAAAAAGATGTTGAGACTGTAGAAAAAGTACAGAGAAGAGCAACCAGGATGATTAGGGGACTGGAGACTAAAACATATGAAGAACGGTTACAGGAACTAGGCTTGGCTAACCTAGTGAAGCGATGGACCAGGGGAGACATGATAGCAGTCTTCCAATATTTGAGGGACTGCCACAGGGAGGAAGGGGTCAAGCTATTTTCTAAAGCACCTGTAGGCCAGACAAGAAATAATGGATGGAAACTGAACAAGGAGAGATTTAACCTGGAAATAGGGAGAAACTTTCTGACAGTGAGAACAATCAACCAATGGAACAGCTTGCCCTCGGAAGTTGTGGGAGCACCACCACTTGAGACTTTCAAGGAGAGATTGGACTACCGTTTGTCAGAAATGGTGTAGGGTCTCCCGCTTGGGCGGGGGTTGGACTAAATGACCTACAAGGTCCCTTCCAACTCTGATGATCTGTTATCTGTTATAATTGGCTCCAAATTTTCTATTACTAAGTAAGGTAGTTATGTCCCATTTTATGAACTTTGCCACAAGTAAGTGGATCACTGAAGTTGTTAAGTGAACCATGCAATCTTTAAGTGAATCTGGCTTCCCCATTGGCTTGGCTTGGCGGAAGCCGGCTGGGAAGGTTACACATAGTGAGCACATGATCACTCACAGGAGTGTGCAACTGTCATAAATATATACCAGTTGCCATTTGAATTTTGATCACATGACCATGAAGAAATACAGTGCTTAAAAGTGAGAAAACCAGCCACAATTCACTTTTTTCAGTGCCATTGTAATGTCAAATGTCACTAAAAATAGTTCTAAATCAAGGACTTTAAACAAGACTAAAAAAGATTAAGTCGAGTATAGAGTTTAGACAGCTTGACCATTGCTATTTATAACATTGGAAGAAGCCATAGTACCATTGCCATCTAGAAGCAAGATGAAGAGCTAAACGAACAGCTATTCTATTATTCTTACTTTTTAATTTTGTTAAAATTGCTTGGCAGGTCTCAGAGTTCATTCGGAGTTTGCCAGGTTGTGAGGAGCATGGCAAAGTATTCAAAGATGAGGTGAGTATAGTGGATCAGTCCTTTGGGTGATCAAGGTTCAGCACTCTTACAGGGTTTCATATAATGTTTAACTGGCAAAAGATAATATGTCTACAATAAATCAGCCCTGTTTTAATTTCATTTCTGAAGACAGTCTCTCAGCATGGTTTCACCAAATTGTCTTAAAACTGACTTCAGTGAAATAAAATGTGTAATTAATTTTGCCCTAGAAATTCAACTGGAATTGGAATTATTCTTTCCTGCATCAAGGATGCATTTTTTAAAGGCATTGTTTGTTAGAATATCTAAAATATTGCTTTAAATTATGTGACAATGTTATATGCATATGGCAATGTGTAAATGCCTTGCAAGTTCAAAGTTTCAACGTGACATACATTTCAGAGAGTAATTATTCTTCAAAGCGAGGCGTTCAGTAAAAAAGAAATAGGGCATTAATACTAATCTCCTTTTTTAATCAGTTGTGCCCACTCAATATATTGGGATGTTATTTATTGCCTACATAATAGACGTGGGAATTTTAAAATGTTGCTAATCTAGTTCTAGTCCAACCAGCATGTAAGCAGTGCTCATAATTGTAATTCAATGCTATCAGGAAGACATGAAGTCCTCCATCTATATTTATTACTTGTAAAGAAATGAAAAAAAGGGGAAGACTAAACTAACCCAGGGGCTTTGATGCCATTGTTGACTTGATTAAGATAAAGAGAACATTTAGGAAAACAATATTTCTATAACGCCGTAATTTAAAATACCAAGATTTCTCTGAAGGATGGGATATAGTATAATAACTTTACTGTGGATCCTATTTTAACTCAACTAGTGACTTATAATTGGCATGCAGGAATGTGACAGATTTCCGAAGCTGCATATGAAGGCTGTGATAATCCTTTGAAAAGAGGCTTTGGAACCAACACAAATAGCTCATCTTGAGTTTGCTTGAAGTGATTGTGCCTGCTTACACAGGCAGAAGAAATTACAGCTTCAGCGATGCAATTTTTTTGAAGAATGGGAGCAGAGCTTTGTACATATTCCAGCATATTCCAGAGCACTTCTTCTGAAGCTTTTTCATAGACCTTCTGCATATTGCAAACAACGTGCTTCTGGCTTGCTTCTGTATTTTAGGAGATAAATTATTCCTATTAGCCTCACATCCCTTTAGTCCTTTGATACAATTTAAAATAAACTTTTAACTAGATATTTATTGGCATGAGCTGAACAAGTGCTCAAAGAATTCTGGAATAGTTTTTGTTTTGCTTTTACAAAAGCCATCCTGACCTCTGTTCTTATAGCTGAATCACTTATGCTAACTAGAAAGGCTGGAGCAATGGCAGTCTTTGTGGGGAAAGTTGATAAGCATCACTGAGGAATATTTCTTATGCAATGAACAAGGTGAATTCAATTCACTCTTAAGATTAACAAATTCCATTTTGCTATATCTGAAGTGAATAGATTGATCCCATTTTAAATTATTGTTATAGAGTTGAAAGTACATTCATAACTGTGTGGAGTCATTAACATGTAGATTTGGTTTTTCCTTTCAGCAAATCGATGGGGAAGCTTTTCTTCTAATGACTCAAGCAGACATTGTCAAAATAATGAGCATTAAACTGGGACCAGCCCTAAAAATCTTCAATTCCATCCTGATGTTCAAAGCTGCTGATAAAAACTCTCATAATGAACTCTGATAAAAGGTCTACAGGACAACATCTGCACTCCAGCCAATGTTTTAGCCAAAGCACAAAGATATAGAAAGATAACCTAGGATAAACATTTCAAAGGGAAAAAGTCTTAAGTGCATGAAATAAAGATACTTTCCAAAAACTAGGGCAACTGGACACTTCTGAGAAGTGCTTAAGGTTTTTAGCAAGATAAAAATTTAATAGAGCAGGTACGTAAAGTTTGTCAACCTGGTGGTTTTAATTTTTCTATAATTAGCCACCTTAATTTAATTGGGGAACCAGTAACTAAGGGAACATATTAGAATCATGGTTATATTAGCCTTTTTTAAGGAATCACAAAATATATACTTTGTGAATTCACCCATTGGGCTTAGTTAATCTCTTTGTCCTATTTGACCATTTTCATAAGAAACTGTTCACAATTTAAAAATATTTGGGATGCAGTTAGTTAATGGAAATGGTTAACTCATTAATTTTGCACTACACTGAAAATTGCTGTGGATTCTGGTTGGTTTATTCTAAGAAAACATTGCTGAAGATCAGTGCTGTTTTTTTTAATTATTTTTGCATGGTTAAAAGAAAAAGAAATACTTCCAGTAGCATATTTGGTATGAAATTATTAATAAGAACTACAAAAGGTTAATGTAATTATATTTCATGTTGCATTATATTACTTTAATTCATTCTATGAAAAGAGATACAAATTAAATGTGCATATGCAGAATAAAAATAATCCTGCACTGTAAAAAAAACACCTTTTTATAAAGAATTAAATTGGTTGAACAGGAATATTAACTCAATAATCTAAAAATAGCAGTAAGGGAAAAGTTAAAACAGTTCTATCCAATTTAAAAGGAATTTGTAAAAGTTAGGTCACTTGACTTTAACATGTGCAATAGAAAGCAATGTGAAAAAGATCATTAAGGGTTATATTACATTGTTCTGTTCAGTCTTTTTTATAAACGTTGCATCTTTTATATTTTGTTCTGACTTTTTACACTTAAAATTGCATTTAAAATTGTTACGCTTCATAACTGCCAAAATGTGAAAGAACTTTTGTATGACTCATTTTTCATGCAGTTGGTTTGTATCAATATTAGTACAGTCATATTTTTCCATTTGTCTTAGTTTTCACTGAAAGTTGTGGTGAACAGTTTCCTTCAAAGATGAGAGAAGCCAAAATGCTTAAGTGTGTTTTACAGTTTTTCGGGAAATGGAATTCCAAAGATCAATTGGAAGCAAGAAGATCAGCAGAGCTATGGCTCAGCTTCTACCCTTCTCTCAAAGAACATCTACACACACACACACACACACACACACACACACACATTCAATGGGATTTTATTTCTAGTGCAACTTTTTCACACTTTCACCTGGTTTAGAAAAGTATCCATAAACCTATGTTTACACAAATCTTGGCTTGACTTGCATAGATGAAAAATGAAAAATTAGGAACATCATCATTCTCTCAAATCATCATTTGAGAGCATCATTTCTCTTAGCAGAGAAATAGTCGCCTACCCCTCCTTTAGCCCATGTCATATACTTTGTGAGTCTGCCTGCAAAGATATGTGAATTGGTCATAACTTTCTCCTGCCCTGCTATTTGGAAAATTCCTGGCATGAGATGATTCAGGGCAAGGAGAATAGCATGAAGATAGCTGTTTTGCCAGGAGGCTGCATTTTCAACCTACAAAACCGGGAAGCAGATTCAGAATCTTACCTTTATTCCCCTAATTCATTTACCAATTATGGGTATATGTGCCTGGAATCTGTTTTAACTCCTGGCAACCTGCATTTTTCATGGCAGAAAAGAGTTTGCCCTGGACTTCTTCCCAGGGCTGAGAGAAAATTATTGGCCCATGCTTAAGGCAACATCAGAATTCACTCCGCCAATTTCTAGCCTGATACTATCAACCATTACACTAAACTGGCTCTTTATAATCTTTCCTTTGGGGGGAAGTGGGTGCCTTTGAGTCAGTGTTGACCCCTGCAGTTTTCCTGACGAGGTTTCTCAGGAGTGGTTTGCCCTTGCCTGCTTCCTAGGGTTGAGAGAGAGTGGCCCAAGGTCACCCGACTGTGTGTCTAAAGCAAGACTAAAACTCAAGAGTCTTCCAATTTCTAGCATGCTTTATGCACTGTTAGAAGAAATTTCTGGATTCATATCTAGGCCAGGCCCTTCATAGAACACAGGGAATAAGTTACTTGGAACAGAGGCAGACATTATTTCAATAGCATAACGTGCAGTATAGCAGTCAAAAGATAGGCTAGGAACTTGAAATTTTGAGGTAGTTACCTTAATAGAGAAACCTTTCCTTTGCTCCTCTCCCAAGGATAGAGTCTGACCTCTAGGGATTGATAAAGAAGAATATTTGTAGCTCAGGGATGAAATGAGGGGACCTTGCTCAGAGAGCACCATAGACCCATCTGAGAAATATTAGAAACTAATTAGCTGGATGGACAAAAGAGGATGCTTGGTTAGATACCCTGTTGAGCTTGTGTGGTTTTTCCACTCATTTACCCTATCAACCAGCTTTCTGTTTAATTAACATTGCAGCAGGAGGTGGCGGTCACATAGAGGAAAGGATTTTTTGTTTTTAAATAGGTATAATTTATGGTATCCTGAAAGAAATGTTTACCTGAATGGGTTGTCCCCTTGGCCAATTTTATCATCTTTTGTGTTGACCTTGGGTGATGGATCCAGGTTTGGGGAATCTTGCTATGTTTGTAAAGGATTTCCATATCTTGAGGGGATTTTGTAGGGTTTGGTTGATTTACTGATTTCTGCCAACTTCCTATCAGTTTCCTCAAAAAAAAAAAAAATCAAGCTTGGCTAAAAAGTTCAGGTGGGTTTTTTTTAATGTTGTGACTGGACTTTCCTGGAGTCAGACATGGCCAAGGTTACAGTATTATCTGGCGAGAACAGACATAGGCATTTTATGGTCCGTAACCAGGCTTATACCTGTCCCTATCCAGCCCACCATTGGGCTAGAAGGTGTTAAGGAGGCTTTTGCCTTCTAACAGTACAATTCCATATATTCTAACAGCAACTGGCTCTCTTTAGAATTATTTGGCGCTTTGTATTTAATGAACTATTACTACCCACCCACCCCCAGAGAACAATTGCATTCTGAAATGTCAGAAGCAAATGCAGTCTTTATGTCAGAGAAAGCATCTCTTTCCTTGGTGCTTATCATTTAACCCAGAAATGACCGCACAAACTGAAAAAGCTGGCTAAGTAATAAGATCATTACCAAACAGGAGACTGAACTGCTGATCCTTGTATTTAATACTAAGCAATTAATTATTGCTTAGAATTTCAGGTTACTGTCAAAGAGCATAAAAGGAAAACAATCACATATTTTTTAGTAATTTTAACGACCAACACCTTTTACCAAAGATACTATCTAAGAAAAAAAAATAGTTTATTGTTCTCTGAGGCAAGGGTTCCCAATCCCCCGGGGCCACACAAAGGTGAGTGGCAAGTGAGCAAAATTTCATCTAAATTTACAGCTTTTCCGCAGCACTAGCAATACTGCTTCAGCTCCACCTCAGATCATCAGGTGTAAGATTAAATTAGAAGCACAAAGCCTACTGTAAATTGCACAAATATGCAAGGGATCTAAGTTGCAAGTTGCTCCCTAGTCTGTGGAAAAATTGTCTTCTACAAAACTGCTCCCTAGTGCCCAAAAGGTTGGAAGCACTGGTCTAGGCTATGCACCAGCTCTTTACATATCTCCTAATTAATACCAGGTATGAAAAGAAAAGCTACTTTCCCCCCAACACATTAGACAGAAGTGAAGGTATGCCTATCTGGCAAAGATTTTGGGGGGGAGGAGGGGGAGAAATTCCAGGATTATATCAGTAGTCAAAAATTTTCAAGAATGTCATAGCAGAATAAATTTGGAATTTCTCCTTAGTGCTTGATATAATAATAAGATGGGAGATAATTTCCATATATTGTTAATGTGACACATGATGGTATCTTTAGAATGAAAAATTAACCATCACCCCCAATTCTATAGAATCAAGGTTTTTCAGATTTAGCAACCTTTAAGATGTCTGGATCTCAACTCCCAGAATGCCATAGCCAGCATTCTGGGAGTTTTAAGTCCACGCATCTTAAAAGATGCCATGTTTGAAAAACACTGGTTTAGATTCTACTTAGAATACAACATAATGAATCTGGGATGAAAAGCTATTTCCCAGTGCCCTTTTGGAGGCGAAGTTTGCTAATTTTAGTTTAGATTTTCTAAAATTATGATTGAATATTGTTCATTTAAAGTTTTGAATTCCAAACTGTTATACTATCTCCAAATGTTTTCATACATTTCCAAATATATTATTTCAAGTATATATATGTTTTTTTTTCATAAACAACATCAATTTGAATGTTCCTCACCCAGTATGTTGTTAATGGTGTTCTCTGCATATAGTTCCAAATTCTCAAGGGCTTTCTTATAAATATCCTGGTACATTAGAAACTGAAACTCTGTAAATAGCTAAAGGGAGGGAGGAAGAGGATATAATTCAGAAAAGGGATTTTAAGAAACTTTTCCCATTCAAGAAAAAGGCATGGTTAAGATTCACTCTTCGGCTACTGTTTTAAGCAGCAGGCACAACCTGAATGTCAGCTGAGAGGTCACAAAAAGAAGTTATATGAGGATCACTATCTTGGCAGGAAAACATAAAACTGTTCAAAAAATGCAAGGTGGGATGAAAGTTTGCTGTGTGTAGCACAACATTTTTTTGTTATCTAAAAAACCCAGAAACATAAGTAGTGTGGCCAATACGTGTGAAAGTGGTAGCGTTGTAGAGACAGTTATTTTTGCACTACATTAATCAATGGGAAGTGTGAAGCAATGATCACTAGTGCAAACCATTTATGTTGCCAACAATAAAATGGCAAGGTAATAAATATGACTCGTCTGCTAGAAAAATCACAGTTGGAGTCTACATTATTCTAATAAGCACAAATGCTGGTTTTTTTTTAATGAACATGCTGAAGCATGAACTGTACAGTAATAATTAAGAAGTGCCCCTGCAGACTTCTTAAAGTTGGAATACTCTGAGGATTTATCATTTTATTCCTAGTTATGGCCATTTTATTATCCTACTCTTCTCTCTTTCATCCCATGAATTTCAAACCAAGCTTTCATTTATCCCAGTGTCAGATTCCTCACTGTGAACACTGTTAATTTGCTGGGCTGTGCATTCGTTAATTTTACCAAAATGCATTTTTTGAGAGTGGTCATAAGTGGGAAAATAGTAATGTACCCCTAAATCCAAGACAGCTCTGTTAAATGAAATGAAGTGTTATTGTGGCTCCAAGCAATGGATAGGTGCCAAAGTAGGATCCTGCCACCACCAACTGCCTTTCTAATCTACTCTTTGGATATGTATTTATGATATTTACATGTTGCCCACCCCACAGAAACCTGACTCTGGGCAATGTGCAATAAAATAAAAAGCAATAATTAGAAAAATAATATTAAAACATAAAAATTATTATAATTAAAAAAACCTAAAAGGTAAAAATAGCATAGATGTTACACTCAAATGTAGCCACATCATTAAAACTCCATTTTGGTGAAGCCTCCAAGTCTGTTATCCCAAAGCTGCTTTTTAAGGTGGCAGCTGGACTTTCTTGTTTTTCTGTGAAGATGTTTTGTTTCTCATCCAAGAAGCTTCTTCAGCTCTGACAGAATAATAGGGAATAGAAGGATTTATATTCCTTTCAGACAGCTGGTCATTTGCATCCTTTTAAAGCCAGGGTGTCAAACTCGCGTCATCACAACGTTGTCATGTGACATATCGTGACTTTTTTCCCCTTCGCTAAACCAGATGTGGGCATTGCTAGCGCATGACGCATCCAGCCCGCAGGCTGCAAGTTTGACAGCCCTGTTTTAGAGGATCATTGATGCACTTGGTGGTTTATCTGTGTCCATTGACATAACCAAGTTTTAAGAGACTTCCAGAAGGACATCAAGAAGGGTGCCAGTCTCACTGGGGAGGCAATGTGATCTTCCAAAGGGCTGGCACCATCACAACAGAAAACATCTCCTGGATCCTGCCAAATGTAGTTGCTTAGCAGACAAAGGCATCCCT